CAGTGGTTCATGGAGGTCAGCATGGGTTTTTCAAGACTGTATCTTGCCAAACTAATCTGTTTTTAACTGACTTATAGGTTCAGTGGATTACGGGAATGTAGAGGGTGAAAGATCTTCATGTCAGTAAGCTTAAATTGCCCCATGGAAGTACCGTTGGGTCCACTGCAAAACATGTTACTTATGTGGGATAAAGCAGTCTTTAAGGTACGCTGGTCCCAGACTGCTTGGGGTTTTAACAGTCAGTAACGTGACATCTCCAGTTCAAGTCAAATTTTGGATTATTGCAGGTTGAGACCACAAGTGCCACAGCAATTTGTTTCGGGTCCAGAAACAAAATGGTGGTCAGTTCAGCAGAAACCAAGTAGGAGAAATATTCTCCTGGCAGCCATGTTTTGCACCAGTTCCAGATTCTGGAATCTAATGAAGCAGTTTGTCAGTAGTGATGGCAGTCCTAAAAGTATTTTAGGGTTGCCAACTATGGCTTGGGAAATTCCTGGAAATTTGGGTGGTGGTGCCTGGGGAGGATGGTGTGTGAGGAGGTGAAAGAGCTCAGGAAGGTGATGCTATAGAAAGCCTCAGAACGTTCAGTTTCCTTCAAGGAACCTGATACCTGTAGAGTGGAAATCAGTTATAATTCTAGGAGAACTCCAGGCCTCATTTGAAAGCTGGTGACCCTGTAGGATTTCCTTGTACAATTCACACCATGTTGTTTAGGATTCTTGTGTATTATAGCTTTTTTCAGTTGTGATCTCAGCCTCTTTTTCCTCAGGGTTTTGGTGGGGTTTTTTTTAATAGCTTGTGCCCAGTGAGGGAAAAAATAGGTTTTCTAACAGGGAGTGTTTTGGGCAAGCTAAAATAAAATTTTGGAAGTATTGTCATTCTAACTGTAGGAGTTTCTGTTAAAACAAATTACTATTTTCCCATTGTTTGAGTTCAAGTTTTACTTGTTTGGCGGCATCTATCTGAAATGGTTTCTGATGGGGAAACTTGTATATCAAGGAAGGAAGGCCAACTGTCATTCCTATTAACTTGTAAAATTGTAGGATTAATGGCCTGTCACTGGTTTTCTAGGCTTTTCTGAGGAACAGAATTAAGAAAGTAAAGCTCCTGTCCTTGACCTCTTGAGAGGATTGGTGGAGCAGCTATCCTATGAATGGAACCTGGGATCTTCTTCATGCAATGCGTTTGCTCAACCAAAATACCTTCCCCAGATCCTTTAAGCACCAGCAGATGGTCTTTGAAGTAAGATATGGAAGTTACAGCAATCCAATATTTATTGTTAACTGGTAGTCTTTGATTGCTGACAGGTTCTTCATATCTGACCTTTCCTAACTCAAAATCTGCCTAAAATTTTATTAGAAAGCTCAGTGCCTCATCAGAACTTCACTATAACTGGATATTCCACCCATCCCAACCAAACTCAGATACTCTCCAAGTGGCAGGTAGTTGTGCATTGCTACCAGTGAAAATCATACCTTGGATCCTTGCACATTGGTTGTACCAAAAGTTGAAGGATCAAGAATGTTCAGGCCATCTCCCCCCAATCGCATAATACTGACTTTCAAGAACTCAAAATGAGGGAAATTTCTCCAAGTCACTCACTGAATTCAGCAAAAAAATGGGTCAGGATGAAGAGAACCAGAGAAGGACCGGTCCACTGGGTCACCATTTAAGCTCATAAATAAATAGGTACAGAAGCTTGAGGTCAAGTACCTTGCCCTCTTTTCAAGTGGCATGTCAAGTTTGGCCAGGCAGCTACTCAGTAGTTATGTATTATCTCTGTTCTACTTATAACTTTCAAAGATAAAGATAATGCTGAGCTAAAGGAAAGCCTGAATTTACAATTGGGAAGGTTCAGGGAAGCTTATCCCACAATCTTACATTGCCAGGGTCAGTGCAGTACTAGGTGTTAGTAGGTAAAAAGCTGCTGCTGAGAAACTGGGTTTTCTTCTAGGCTTAGTACAACTCCCGCCCCTGTTATGGATTATGGTATTAATAATTCACGCATTTGTTTGGGATTAAAATATAACCAGGAAAGGGCTTAGGAGATCTATGTTATTGATGTGTGCTGTTCACCATCCTTAAAGAAGCAGTGTTGTTGACATCTAGTTTGATAGCAGCCACAGAACTAGTGTGATTTAGGAGTTAGGGTGCTGTACTGGAAGTAAGGAGATTCAGGATCGAATCGCACCTCTGCCATAAACCTCACTGGGTAACCTTCATGACCTTCTCTCAGCCTACCCAACCTCACAGGGTTGAAGAAAAGGGACCCCTATAAGCCATCCTGAGTTCCCTGGGGCTACAAATCAATTCCTTCATGTCCAAAATTCCAAGGTAAGAGAGAATCTGAGTGTGATATCAGCTCTTTGTCCTCTGAAGTGTTCTTCAGAGAGGTTGAGAATCTAACTTATATATTACGTGAGTCACATGAATGGAATTGAGAATCTCATTTACAGGGTTGAATTGAAAAAAAAAATGTTCTGCTGAGCAGAGACCTGATCCAGCCCGTCCTTCACCATATCCATTCTAACACTGGGAGCCAGTGTGGGGTAGTATAGAGTACTGGGATCTGGGAGACCCATGTTCGAGTCCCTACACTGCCATGGAAGCTTGGTGACCTTGGCATGCCACAGTCTCTCAGCTTAATTTACCTCAGGAGAGGTAGAACAATGTAAGCCCCTTTGGGTCCCCATTTGGGAGAAAGGCGGGGTACCAATGAAGTCAAGAAATAAATACAGGAGAGGCCTTTACGAGAGCTTCCCTCAAGATTACCTGAAAACCCTTACATTTTGCCAGAAGGGATTTTAATTTTGAACAAGACTTTGGCCCCGGTCACACGGGCAGGAAACTGCGGGGGGGGGAAGCGTGGCTGTTTGCCCTGGGGCAAACTAACACGCAGTAAAGCGATCATACCTCCTGTGGAGGTTCTGTGGAGGTACCGTGGAGCTTCTGTGGTTACGGAGAGGCGTCGATCACAACACATGCCTGCGCGCCTGCGCGCAACGATGAAGCGCACGGCGCGGCGAACCAGTTTTCTTTTTTTGTGTTCACTACGAATGCGCATGCTCCGTTGGGTGCATGTGCGCAACCACGGGGACTTGGGGGAAAAAAAAAAACCTTTTCCACAAGGGGACATGGGCGGGCGCCGGATGCCACCGGAAACGCGATCAGACGCCCGCCCTTGCCCCGCAGTTTCCGGAAACTAGTACCTCCGAGGTACTAGTTTTTTGCTGCGCGGTTTCGGGAGGAAGCCTCGGTTGTGCCACAGAAGCGCTACGCTCCCCAGATGTGCTGGTGAGATCGCGCCCGGAAACTCCGCCTGTCTTCCGTATCTCTTGTGTGGCTAATGTTGTGTGTGACCGCAGCCTTTGTGAAGTTTTAAACCTGTCTTGTAATGCCAGTGCCGAGCCTTAGAACAGGTAATTAGACTGGTAGTAATTAGAATGACTTAAGTATTTACATTAATTAGGAATGGCAAAGGTTAGAGTACCTTTGAGGACATGCAAGGCATTTTTCCTCTCTGAGTGACGTGTGACGACGTAAGTGGGGAAGGGGTTCCAAGTCTGTTGGTGAGATGTCAGGTAGGCATGTTGTTGGAGAATGATAATCAGGATCCATTATGAAGTAATAGTTCAGAACCTGAAATCTACGTGGATTGCAGCCCAACATTTTTGAGTCTGACAGCGCCTTCAAATTCTGGCACAGAGTGGTAGGCACGGCATCAAAATGGCTGCCACAGGAGGTGCAGGCAACAACAAAATGTCAGTGAGTGAGGTTATGTGTAACTTTCATAATAACTCTTCAATATTTAAGGTAGAAGCTCTGTTTAACACAGGGGGTCTTAACCTTTTTTGTCTCATGGACCCCTTCGGCAGTCTGGTGAAGCCGATGGATTCTTTTGAAGTAGTGATGAGAGTACATATTTCGAGATGTCTGCAACAACTGGAATGTGATATGAAAATATCTGTGATTTCTGTCTTAGGTACTGCTAATACTACTCTGGTTTGTTGCCTACATTCATAACTGAAGGAAATGCTAAATTTCATAATTGAAGGAAATGCGACATTTCAGTTAGAGGTTAGTGAAAATAAAGATGTAAATTTCCCCCCTATCCAAGTTCATGGACCCCCTGAAACCTATACATGGACCCCAGGTTAAGAACCCCTGGTTTCGAAGAAGAAGAAGAAATTGGATTTATACCCTGCCCTTCACTTGGAGTCTCAGAATGGCTCTCCATTTCGTCTCCCTGTGAGGTAGGTGCGGCTGAGAGAGCTCTGAGAGAACTGCTCTTGAGAGACCAGGTCTGAGAGAACTTGTGACTGACCCGAGGTCACACCACCAGCTGCATGTGGAGGAGTGGGGAATCAAACCCGGTTCTCCAGATTAGAGTCTGTGCTCCTAACTACTACATCAAACTGGCTCTTTAACAGGATACCGTATAACTGCACAGCCAGTCAGAAGCCCTGCTAGGCACAAGCCCCACCTAACCATGCCCTCTTTCTAAGATCACTTGGTGGGCACCAGGTGCCCTCGGGTATCGCATTGGAGACCCCCGCCTTGGAGTATAAGACTTTTAGCCAGTTCTTTAGAAACAATGAAGCACTCCAGGAGAGCTAAAACATGTTCTCAGGGAAGCTTTCCACCTTTCAGTTCTGGGCAAGAACATTCTAAAGCCACCTTGGGCCATTGGATTAGAGCCTGTGTGGTGTGGGTGTAAACAGCACAACACGGCCCACTTGGTACCGCTGTCTTCTCTGACATGAACCTCCTCCCTGAGTGGGCCTATGTGGAGCTGGCACTTGGACCTTGGTCTCCAGCTGTTAGCTGCTCTTACAAGACGCAGACTGTCTACAGAGTTCTAAAACAAATTCCAGAGGGCTGGCCAAGTGGCAGACACACCCAGGATGTCCTCATCCCTCGAGGGTGAGGACATGTGGTTTACTGTGTCATTTACTATGAGTGTTCTTTGAAAGTACGAAAGATATTCTGTCCCACACACTATTGGTACAGGATGGAGCACTCAAGTGTCTCTTCTTTTCGTCTGTACCCTCTGGGCAAGTGCCTATCCAGAGGCTTCTGTTCTTCTGTATCTCTCTTTCTCCCCTTCCTTGTTGAAGATGCTTATTGATCTATTTTCCTTTTTTGGCAGTTGGGTCCAGGTGTCCCCTCCATGATAGCACCCTAAAGGCACGGTATCTTTTCCCGAGGGACTCTTCCAACAGCCGTGTGTCTCAAACTGATAGAGAGATCTGCCCCACGGAAGTGTCTCTGTTTGACTTTGCCTTCCGTGCCCAAAGGGAGGAGTCACCCACTCGGAGATGAGCTTCCTACCTCGGCAGAGAAGGAACGATCCCGGTAAGTCTGAAGTTCCTCTCTAACTTTGTGGGCCCCGCTGCTGGTCCCTCTCTGCTGCTCGTTTTGCTTTTCAAAAGCTTTCCCCTGCGGCTTGTCATAAATCATTGCTTCGGCAGAGAGATGTAGGCAGTCAGGCAGTTTCTCGACAGGCGGCAAAGTGCAGATGGGCAGAGCAGAGAATGAAACGTGAGCAAATGAGAGATGCAAAAGAGGGGCCCCAAATCCCTCTTTGTGTGACAGCCTTTCAAAGCCTTAAAGAGAGCGATCATGTCCCCCCTCAACCTCCTCTCCTCCAAACTGGATATTCCCAAATCCCTCAGGCTTACCTCATAGGGCTTGGTCCTCGTCACTGTCCTCTGCACCTGCTCCATTCTGTCCACATCCTTTCTGAAACGAGGCCTCCAGAACTGCACACAGCCTGACCAGTTTAGTATACAGTGGAATTATGGCATTGTGCAACTTCAATAGTAATCCTGTTTTGCTGCTGCATCATTCTGACTGCTCCTATTTAGCTTACAGTCCACCCGTACCCCGAGATCTTGTTCACAAACACTGCCACCCAGAAGTGTGTCTCTTACCCTGTCTCCGTGTTTCTCATTTTTGTTACCTAGATGTAGAATTCTGCACTTATGCTTGTTAAATTGCATCTCATTCATATCCTCCCACTGTTCCATTGTGTTCAGATCTCATTGAATTCTATATCTTCTGGTGTGTGCGCTTCTCCTCCCCTTTTGGTGTCATCTGCAGATTTAAAGAATAAACTTAAATGCGAATGGCCCTGCAGATTTAATTGTGAATGGCCCAGCCTTTCAGCAGGAAAAAAAGAGGGTGGGCGGGGAGATTTCCTCAAAGTTGGTACACTGTGACAGTCTGGTACCAAGTGAGGATACCGTGACAGGTATTGATTGCCCTCTTATCAGCTGGCCCCTTGTACCCTGGGGAAGATGAAAGTCCCAGTCCGTGCCAGGTGTGACAGTGATCGGTCTCTCTTTCTAGGCTCAGCAACGCTAAGGACACCGGAAGACATGGATATCCTAGAGATAGATGCCCATTACAGGAGAAAGGTTGCAGCCAATGTAAGAACCTATTTGTCTATCTGTCCTTCACAACAGAAGGGGTGAATGGGGCACAGGTGTGTGTGTGGGGGACTTAGGTCTCCTTCCGAGGTCTGCCTTCCTGCTCAGAGCTCTCTTTCTTGAGAACCTCTATTCTGCCACCAGTCTGTTGAGCTCTTTCCCGCCCTAGATAAAGATGCCTGAGTGCTTTACGTGTTTAAAATATATGCCCACCTTGCTTTTGACCAAGTCAGGAGCCAAGTTATGCTTCTGTTTCATGGACAAACTGGGAGTTCCAACATGGGAACAGTGTATATAAAACTCCCAACAAACTCTTCTAGCCTCCCCCCCCCCCCGATCCAGAGAACCCAGCTTGCCTCTAGTGTGTTAGCT